GGCTGATGTACTGCCTAGTAAACTTGGTTATAATTTCTATCTGTTGTAAACTTTATATTCACTATTGACTACAATTGAATGATGAATAACTTTTGATGTACTCATTTGATTTTGCCCGCTCAACTCGTCCACTAGGGTGCCTGGAGTAAACGCGTTATACTTCTACTACTACCTTCTTATTTGCTACGTTGTGGTTGTCTAAAGCAAATCATTTATAGCGTTAGCCATAAGCCCCTCGGTCCAGCAAGGACACCGGTTGAAGAGCCTAGGGCCCTTGATAGTTTGTTTAAAACGCAAAAGCTTTACAGTGTCCTGTGAAAGCGAAACAATACAAAAGACTTTTAATCAATCACCTGGAGCATGAAGGTGTAGGCTACCATCATCCACGGGTGATTTGCGAACTTCTCAGTGAGTGGTTTCTCAATAGCACCAACACGCCTCTAGTTCCAGACATCGAGATAGCCAACACAAGTAGTACCAGAGAATTCACCGCGAATAACACCAGCCATGCTATTAAAACCCTGAAAGCAAACGTTAGCTGTGGGACGGACGAGGTATCGTCAACAGTTTACAAAAAGGCCGGCATGAATGTGGCAGTTCTATTGCCGAAAATGTTCACCTTCCCGGTAGATTCTCGGACGTAACCTGATAAACAGAAAACTATTTATATATTGCCGAAACACAAGTCGGGGGCCAAGGCCAGAGTTAGCAATTACAGACCAATAGACATAACCCCAGTCATATCACTGATTGTGGAAAAGGTGATTAAAAACCAAATGTCTGATCTAACCACGACAACTAGCTACAATATGGCTTTACGAAAGAAGATCCTGCACCACAAACCTATTCGACTTTGTCGACGAGATTACCGGCAAAAAAGATCAGAAAAAGATAGCGATAATAATTTACTTCGATATCACCAAAACCTTCGACAGAGTCCCGCACAACTTGCCTATCAATAGACTAAGTTCCCTTGGAGTCTGTAATCCATTTTTAGACTGGTTAAAATCCTTTCTGTTTAACCGTCGTCGAATAACAAGAGTGGGTTCAACTATCTCGAAGCCCTAACTAATAACTAGCGGAGTTGCCCAAGGCAGCGTCTCAGGTCCACTCCTCTTCAAAATATACATCAACAGCATATGTGAATGTTTTAATATAGACAAGTCATTCCTATGTGCAGATGACCTAAAAATAGTATACACATGCATTAGAAGTGACTATTAGCCCTAAGCAAGAGGAAACAAAACATGTTAGCAAATGCTGCAACGCCCGGCGACTCGAATTTAACGTAGAGAAATGTGGCCCGATATGCATAGGTGACTCTACACTTGGACCTACTCCCAAAACTGAAGACTATACGACACTCCCACAACCTAACCCTCTCTTAGCACGTATCCACACAGGTGTCGGAAATATCCAGACTGGTGGGTTTCTTAATACCTAACTTCTATACCCCCGAATCTAGAGTCATCCTGTAGGAAACATGTGTCCTACTACTACTCGAATGCTGTTCGTTGATCTACTGCAGTACAGAGGTTGCGGATAGACTGGATAGACCTCCATCGACTGAGATGGTTGGGACACGTAATATGTATGCCTAGTCGCCGATTGCCTCGTCACACAATGTTGGCCGAAGTAGGTCCAGGCCGGAAAAAGGCCCAAGGTGGCCACACTCAAATATGGCATCTATGCGTGAAGTCTTTGACTGTGGGTTTGAGCCATGTGGGACGATGCAAACTAGCTGGTCGGGGTCCGCGGGATGAGAGAAACCAGTGGTTGGAGACTGACTAGGTGATATGGCTCAAAACCGATGTCGGTGGCGCAGATGTATACACACATTATCCTCATCTTAACGACGCCATACCGAATCTCACCATTTCCTCACCCTTCCTTTCCCTCTTTCCGTACTTTATATTTCTTTTGACTGAATTCTCTCGTCTTCATCTTGCGCCTCACTGCCATTTTATTTGATGTACTGATATGAGGTGTGAAAACTTGGATCGTTATGCAGTAATGCCTGGTCATAGGTTGACCTAGATGGGTGGATAGACTGGAAATCGAAGGGGTGTATAGATACCTTACAATGAGAATACTGAACACCAATAACGAGGCAAAATATGCCACCAGATGCAACATCCTGAGACTTGAACCACCATGGAAACGAAGGTTCAGACTGAATCTGAGACTATTTTATAAATTCCTTAACAAGCTTGTCTATGGTACATATATAGACGTATGGCTTATAAGTTGAGCTGTGTATGGATTCAGAAACACAACCGCCACATTGGCAATTGAATATTCCAAGGCAGTCACTAGACAGAACGTCTTCATGATAAAACATGCTTAGATGTGGGCCAGTTTACCTAGGAAAGCACGTGAACCAAACACTTTGACAGAGTTTATAAGACAGCTTAACTCTACATTACAGGAAAGTGCTATAAAACGTACCAATAATACTACTACTAAAAATGCAGAAATAATGGGACCTGTTATTATGTAAACAGTCTCTAACCACAAAGGTTTAGAGGCTAAAACTGCTTCGGATTTTTCTACCGGAATTTCGGGTTGATGTAATACGTAGATATCAAAAAATTATGGGGGAAATGGACTACGATGAAATCTAACCCAACTATCTGGGAATCCGAACGCTAAATGAACAAAAGATTATAAACGCGGTACGTTCGAAGCTTTGTTACATTTTAACATGATTTGTCATTTGCTCTGAATCGGTTACTCTGTGTACTGTGATATCTAGTACTATCTAAAAAATAGTGGTACACACGTATATTATATTTAGTTAGCGAATTCGCTCAGCTTTCGATGTTAAATAACCTCACGTTGACGCAACAGAGAAAATACCAAGTGCCATAACTTAGCTACGGGAAGAAATAAAGCCAAACGATGGAAAACAGACTGTTTTAGTGATAATTCTAAAATGAGTACTTCAGGATCTGTCTCTAAATGCAATGAGATAAATAAATAAAATATTTTATCCCTATATTAGTAATTTAACGTGGGAGAAGTCGCTAAGAAGACCGTTCGGGGACATCACGCTCCAGACCAGACCAGGCCGTCGAGTGGGACTCTAAGGGAAACGGCGTGTTGGGCGTTCGAGGCGAGGGTGACATGGAGGAAATCGTGTGAGGAGGAAATGAGAGCTTCTGGGGGGTCGTGGAGCCAGGTTCGAAAGACTAGAGAGAACAGAGTGGAATGGCGACGTGCTACTGAAGCCCTGTATTCCACTAGGAGCCCACGGGACTTATGAAGAATAATATGGATGATACTAATTTTTGAGTGTGGTCTCTTGTTGTTGTTCTTAATAGATAGGTATTCGTTGCTTTGACGGTATTTGTTGTGCACTAGCAGTTATTCGTGCATTATATAATGGATGTTTGTTGATTCATACTTTTATTTTTCCATTGCTGTTGTGTGTGTGTTGGAAAAACTTGGTCTCTGCTGGCAGATAGGCTCCTATGCCAATGCCTGGATACTGCCCGAACATTCATATTACAGTCTACTTAGTGGCCAGTAGTGGAATCCAGGATGCGCCTGTAGTACTACTTGGGACTCGTTAGCAGGATGTACTCGCACGCTAGTGAGTGGTGTTGTCGTCACTGAGATTCGAAGCCAGTATCCATCACTTCAAACGACAAAGCGTTATGCATTAGACCATTGGAAGGATAAGAGGTTTGGCGTTTGAAGCTATGAGTATTTGGAACGAATCTCAGTGGGGTGCAACACCCACTCGGGTCCAGGTAAATCCAGCTGACGAGTCCTGAACAGGACGAAAGACGTGTCAAGCTGGATTCCTCTTCTTACCACTGAGTAGACTACAACAGGTGTTTGTTAAAGTTTATATTCTAGGTTTAAATCTGAGGAACATAATATACTGCAATCATGCTTCCCAATCTGAAGTCAACTCTGGACTTAATTACGATAGTCTGTGTAGCGTCATTACGTCTCTCCCATAAAGTCGTATTGTGGTTTTTCGCCTATATTTTATCATTCGCCTCAATCAGTGTAACTGTACATGTGGTTAGAATCACAGTGAGGCAGGTGCATCCGCTTTCTATCTCCTAAGCCTTGATCATTTCTGTTCCATACATATTTGTTCTCCATCTACTTTTTTCTTCTGATGCAAAAATCTTCAAATCCTCAGCAACCGTGTGTATGTACTTACTGCAGCCAATAAGCTACCTAGTGATATTAGATGATTCCTCGAACCACTGTAGGTGGAACGTGTTTCTAATCTGTGACACATTTGTTGAAAGTCAGTTACGTGGCTCGTGAACCAGTATTCTACAAACTAAGGAACCGGTGAGATATCGAAAAACGTAATTAGGATATAGTATACCACACAATTATTTGATTATCCTACTTGTATCACTCAGAAATCAGATCATTAAAAATTGAGGATTTAAGTAGGCTTTAGGTATCTAATCATTGTGACTTAAGTGATACTTCTAGCCCGCTGTAGAGTTTGAGAGACGACCAGGCTAAGCCATCATGTAGTCGAACGATATCTGTGTTGACCTGTCATCCATTTGCAAATCGTAACTGTGACTACAGCTTGGCTTAGTGCGTTGGAATGCTATTAGTTATGGTACAGAATCGAAACCAGTGTCGATCATACTTAAGTTTTCTTTTGTCTTCTACATTCAGACAGTGAAAGATTAAGAGGAACCTTTACTGCGTTTTATGTGATTTTCTCCACACTGGTTATCATTGATTCCCTTCATTTCTTTTCCTATATATTTTCATAGTATACCTTTCAGTCCTGTGCACTTTCTAGCCTTCATTATGTGCCTGTTTCGAAACAAATACTGATTTAAGTTTGTCAGCTTAGTGAATTGAGTTTCTTTTACCTTGCAGACATATCCTTCTGTTAACGTTTAGAAAGCATAAGGCCTAATTTCGGTGCTTCTTGAATAATTACTTTTCATCGGAGACAAATCCATTTCAATACTTATTGTTTTTCCCCAGTTTACCAATAATTCGACATGTACAGATTTTCGCAACTTACCGCTTCCCCTGAACTCCGCAAACAGTTTTGTGATTTGAAATTGGAGTCTAAATCTCAAACGGCAAACGAAAAGGAATGTTTGCATCTGACTACAAAATCCATGAAAAGAAAAAGTCCTACCACTTCAAAAGATCTGAAAGAGCCCGTTAAAACGCATCATTCTGACTTTACATTAAAAAGTATGTATCGTGTGATATTCTCCATCAATTTTGTTCCAAAATTTTGATTGCTATGTTTTGATATATTTGCATATAAATCTGTCTGCTGTAATGGTGATGCCGGCTGTGATCATTTTCGGTTTTTTTTCAGAAAGTTTCCAAGGTCTGTTTCACTAAGCAATCGATTAGATGGCACCATGCGTACTTAAAGTAGTCAGTGTTTCACCAAATTTCGATGGCTTTCTCCATTTTTAGTATTTCGCTAATCTTTCAAGTGGTTTTCTTTTTGCGATGTATTCAATGAAGTCTCAAATTCTTCTCTACATCATTGATAAAATCATGTCTGGTAAATTCAGGATCACCTCAAAAAAGAGGGTCTAAGAAGTGAAGCAAGTATTCAAAAGATTTTATAGAACAGAACCAAACTTCGGTGATGGAAAACCTCGAGGTCGACTAATCAGACTGAAGATGCTAGATTCAAGGTTATTCGTCGTGTCCGTTTACCAGGTTGTTGACGCTGTATAAACGTCTAATGAACTATGACGAAGATTACATTGTCGGTTACTTTCAGAGAGTTGGATTGCGTGCGATAAGTCTTAATTTTGAATGTGTTGTAATGGATAGTATACCTAAAAATGAGAAAAGAGATGGTTTTGTCTTTCATTGTCGTAGTTGCTACAAGAAGAAAACTTTGAGAACAGGGTCGCTTTTCAAAGGATCTCACCTAACTCTCCAAGAAATTATCATTTTATTACATCGGGTTATCAGAACACCTGTAATATCAGCAGAAGCTCTGACAGATGTTAGTGAAGTTTCTTCAGTACACTGGTATCAACACTGCCGAGATATTTGCTCTGAAATAATAAGCAGGTAGGATGTCAAGTTTAGTGTAGTAGGTAAGAGTTGTTTTAAAACGTTTTTAAGACCCTAAATAGAATCACTAGGGAGTATGCTATGGTCTTATGTGAAGAAGTGGTAATACAAACAATGATATGGTTTCAGAGATGACAAACTTATTGAAAATCTAGGTGTCTTTATTTCTCATGTAAAGCAGATTCATGCATTCTAAGTGAAACACGACTCTTCTTGATAACTACGTTGTCCGTATTCTGACTAGTCAGACATACTTAAAAGTGATTTGCCGTCACTAAACTTGAGTCCTACCGATTTTAAAGTTCCGTATCTGGAAGATCGTTTTACTAAACGTAGAATTATAATCATGTACACGTCTACAATAGCCCATCGTGTTTAGTACATATATAAAGCTTAATATTTCAAGGACAGAAATAAATAAATGTTATAATTTTACAAAATGCACCTTAGTAACTCCATACAAACCACTTTCGTCCTTATTTTCCTATCTTTAACCTTGGTGCCATCTACCTTGATGGGCTGATATGAGTTGTGGCAACGCAGTGAAAAAGGTATCACGTAAGTACATCACTGTGTTGAAAGCTCTTTATTCAAGCATCCATGGGCGTGTTAAAGCCTGCGGCGAGTCGTGCACATCGAGTGATGCCCACTCTCTCCACTCTTGTTCAATTTTATCATGGACGTTCTTATTAGGATTTCCCTCTGCTCGTCTGAATACACAGATGATATAGTCCTGTTACATGAAGACGCTTACAAAATGCGGAGTCATCTGGACCCCTTGAATGCCAATTTGTAAATGTCTGGGATGTGTTTCTCGCCGCCCAAATGCAATTAACTGTTCCAAGACTGGTCTTCAGCGCTGTCTTGTCTAGTAATAGAGAGTGAAACGGTTGAGTGCGTCGAACACTTCACTTACCTGGGAAGTTGGATCGGATCCGGTGGGTCAGTGTCCGACGTAATCTTTGCACGGACACAAAAGGCTCGATTGGCTTTCACCATCTGTGACGCCACCGCGATATGCGATCGCATATTAAGGGTCGAATGTACTGTGCTATATTTCGCTCTATTCCACTGTATGGCTGTGGAACTTGGCCATTAAATGCAGTAGGAATGAGAACGCTTTAGGTGTTTGATCATCGTTGCCTTAGTGTCATAGGCCGTGTATCGTGGTATGACCACGTGAATGACATAGAAATAGGGTGTAGAGTTTTACAGGGGAAAAGGACGTCAGCTGATAGGGTTGTGAACCTTTATCAACTCACGCCTAGTCTCTGGCTGCCTCTTTGTGAAGTGCTGGCTGTAGTAGATTCAGATTGTAGACAGGCTGGGGGCGGTCAGACTAAAACACGAGATCACTGCATGAAGCCTGTTGGTCTGACTCATGTAAGGAGATGCAGACTGGTTGGTTGCATTTCAAATGACAACAAACCAGTGGATTCAGACTCTAGATGATACGGTTCCGGATTTTTTTGTGGCGCAGATGTATCCATGCGTTATCGTAAGCGTAATCGATGTACTCTCTTTCCTACTGCCTTTGACCGATTCCTCTTTGTTTATTCTTCTTTCATCTTATTACTTTGTTACTTGATGTGGTCATGTGAGGTGGAGCAACGTGTATTGCTATGGATTAATTCCCAGGCTCCATGTTGACCCTGATTGACTGACAGATACGTAAAAAAGGCTGCGAGTCATACGTACTGTGTACAGATTACTGTGTGCCTATCTATCTACCAAACTGTTAGTGTGATCGCGAGTTGTAATTTTGCTGGAAATATTACCAAAGCTTAAAAGTCTGATCATTGTGTGTAAATATATTCAGTTTAAATTTATTTACCATAAATCTAATACAGTTGTTAATTTTCTTGAATTTTTCGTTATTACTTATTGCATATTTTCTAGGTTGTGATGATACAACAAATCACTGCTTATACCTTGAACCTTGTGGATTTCGAAATGTTAGGAATTCGTGTTTTCTTAACGCCTGTCTTCAACTTTTACTTAACATGCCTCCTTTTTGTGCAGCCTTACACAAATCTCATGATAATAATTGTGTTTCCAAAATCCAGTCTGCTGATGTTACATCAGAAACACAAGAAAAGAAAACACCACTGACAAACCAATTGTAAGTTACGCTTATGCACCCAACTTGTTTTCATACTAGTTTTCCGTGTTGTTGGTTTTGTAAAATTCCTTAGTAGTTGTGTCGTAGAAATTTGATTCACTCATATCCTAACACCCACTTTATTACCGGCTATTGTTTTGCCATTTAGAAACCACTTCTTTATCTACTTTGGTCTCAGTAGTCTGCAGGTGACATGCTGTGTCCAAACCAGTGCGGATAAAATTATAGTTGATTCCTTAATCGACTTTTTTCTGAGTGAAATTCATCTCCACAGATCATCGTAAGTGTGAAGTTATTTATTCCTCTCCAACCATAGTCCAAAAGAAATGCATTTCTTTCCAGCATTCTATGTGATCAACCTCGCCTAGTTTACTAGTTTACTACTAGCCGGTCCTAAGCCCGGATAAAGAGGAAAGGCTGGGTGCAGGGCAAGCACCCCTACCCCGTAAAACCAATCCAATCGCTAAAGAAACTTCAAAGCACAGACGAAATATAAAAAATAAAAACAAACTTATTCCTCGCTGGAATCGGGGATACGAATTGACGCCGGTTGGTAAAAGCCTTCGGGAAGCCAATTGGCCGATGTGTCTTCTCTCGATGAAAGTAGAAGTAGGCATAAGGACATGGAATATCCGCACAATTTTTGAAGCTGACAAGACTGGGCATATTGCAAAAGAGATGAGGAGATATGGCATAGAAGTGCTAGGAATCTGAGTGAACGGATGGAATGGAAGTGGACTTTCCAAAGTGTTAACTGGAGGGTCAATAATCTATTCCGATATTGTCACCGAGACGACAACCACGAGGACACTGAGTTTTGGAGTGGGTATCATGATGTCCACAGGAGCATGAAAGCCTCTCATGCATTGGGAATCAATCTCCTCCTGCAGGATTGAAATCAAAAGGAAAGAAAGTTACAATCATACAATGCTACACTATCCACCTACAAACAATGCAGGCCAAGAGAAGAAGGAGGAACTTTCTAGACAACTGCATTCAGTAATGGACAAGACCCAACCCTAGATGGTGACATCAAAATTCTAATGGGTGACATGAATCATCACCAATATCATCATAGGACCAAGCATTTTACTGCATAAAGGTCCGAGTTACCACAGCTCATATCATTACACCAACTAAAAAGGCAGTGAGGCGCAAGATGAAGACGAGAGAATTCAGTCAAAAGAAATATAAAGTACGGAAAGAGGGAAAGGAAGGGTGAGGAAATGGTGAGATTCGGTATAGCGTCGTTAAGATGAGGATAATGTGTGTATACATCTGCGCCACCGACATCGGTTTTGAGCCATATCACCTAGTCAGTCTCCAACCACTGGTTTCTCTCATCCCGCGGACCCCAACCAGCTAGTTTGCATCGTCCCACATGGCTCAAACCCACAGTCAAAGACTTCACGCATAGATGCCATATTTGAGTGTGGCCACCTTGGGCCTTTTTCCGGCCTGGACCTACTTCGGCCAACATTGTGTGACGAGGCAATCGGCGACTAGGCATACATATTACGTGTCCCAACCATCTCAGTCGGTGAAGGTTCACCACCTTGTCAACTGATTTGCCTCTACTCCCTAAAACTCTGTACCTGACGTCTGCGTTACTCACGTGGTGACACCACGGAATACGGCTTATACTACGAAGGCAACGGTGGTCAAACACTGAAACCTCGTGTCTTCCACCTTCAGTGGCCACGTTCCATCACAGCCGTAGAGTAGAGCAGACTGGACTGCTGTGCAGTACACGCGACCCTTAATAGACAATCGGATATCACGGCGGCACCACAGATGGCGTAAATTGGCAAGAGCCGGCTGAGTCTTATGTATCCGTGCAGAGATTTCATCGGCAACTGACCCACTAGGGCTGATCCTACCTCTCAGGTAAGTGAAGTGGTCGACACACTCAACCACTTCCCTCTCTGTTGTTAGCCATGGCACCGCTGAAGACCAGTCGTTGAGCAACAATTTGCATTCGGGTGGTGAGAAATGCATCCCAAACACTCTCAAATTGCCACTCAATGTGTCCAGAAGACTCTGCGTCTTGTCAGCGTCTTCACCTAGCAGGACTATGTCATCTGCATATTCTAGGTCTAACGAAAATTCTCCTGTGATTAGGTCAACGTCTGTGTAATCTGGTGACGAGAGGGAGACCTCCATAAGGATATTTATGATAAAATTGAATAAGAGTGGAGAGAATGGGGACCCTTGACGGACACCACTCGGTGAGCACAGCTCCCCGGATATCTTACCATAGGCTCTAACACGTCCACGATTGTTCGAGTAGAGAGGCTTCAATAGGGTGATATACTTACTCGGCACGCCTTTCAGTGAGAGATATTGCCATAAGACCTCTCAGTCAATGGAGTCGAATGGCGCCCTCAGATCGAGAAATACAGATAGTATCGAGCGTCTGTAACGCGTCTGTGTTCCAGGACCTGGCGCAGTGTGAATATTTGGTCGATACACCCGCGACCGGGTCTAAATCCTGCTGGTTTTCTCGGGCTTGCTGTTCCCGAGCTCCACTAAGGCGTCGGATAATTATAGAACCTAGGATCTTGGACACCATGTTTGTCATGCTGGTTCCTCTGTGGTTATCATAAGAGGACCTCTCGCCTTTCTTGAAGACTGGTATAATCAGTGATTTAGACCAGTCAGAGGGGATCGTATTTGATTCCCACATACTAGCAAATACCTCCGCTAACCTTACTATGAGCACTGCACCACCATTCTTGTATACCTCAGTAGGTAGTCCGTCTGGTCTTGCTGCCCTTCCTGGTTTCAGGTTACCTACCGCTTTCTCTACTCCTGCTAATGTTAGAGGGCCTATCTCAATGTTCCATTCCGGATCCGAGTGGATAGCGGGCAACCTAATGGTGGCTGGAAGCCAGTTAAACTGCTCTTCGAAGTGTTTTGCCCATCGTTCCGGTCGTCTCTGAGAGTGAATCGCAGATCCATCCTCCTCTATAGTCTCACTAACCGCAGTCGACCTTGTTTCCCCAGTTTCCTTAATAAGTCTCAATAACTGTCTACTGTTACCAATCGCCGCTGCCTTTTCCATCTCTTTAGCCTTCGCTGTCCACCATTGTTCGTGGTCGTTGCGTAGACTTTTTCTCAATCTATTTTTAAGTTGCGCTCGCTCTTCATTGTACTCAGAGCCTGCAGGGATGCATTCACGTGCATCCATTAGTTCGGAAGAAGCTGCTGATATCCACTGGTTCTTTTTAGCCACTCTTTCGGAGTCGGCTACGGTCTTCAACGCTGTTTTTACAGCAGACTGGAGAAGGCACCAAGCTTCTTCTGGATGATTGATAGTCTTCTGTTCCAATAACTGCCTAGCCAACTTCTCACTGAACATGGCTTTGGTGTTTTCGTTGTCAAGCTGCACTCGTAATGATTGCGTTGCCAAACTTTTCCTACGTTCATTGAGACGCAGGCATATACGCGCTCGGACCAACGCGTGGTAGCTATCCAAACGCGTGCTCCAGAAGGTGCGCCAGTCTTCCACTGATCGGTGGACTCCACATCAGACAGTGTCTTTCTTTATGTCTGAAATTTGTGCTAGCTAAAAACAAGCGGTTATCTGAGCACCGTTGTAGTAGGCGATGACCGTTATCTGTACGTTCAGCCGGGACTCCGAAAGTGCCACCTAAGTGCCTTTCTGCCTCACTCAGTCTACCCACCTGTGCATTGAAGTCACCTGCAACAACCACCACGTCCGGACTTTTGGCTTTCGAAAGGAGGCTAGACAGTTTACGGTAGAACTCGTTCTTCACTTCATCCGAACTACAATCAGTGGGTGCGTAAGTAGAGGATTACAAAGAGACAACGGTGAGTTTCCCTATTCGTTTTAGTTCTCACTGTGCCGTTCAGTCGGATAGGGTAGAGGCGACCATCAACTGGGATCCAGTCTAGTGGTGTTTTCTGCCCTAGTGCTTAGTGCTGTCTACACCTGGAAGACCGCGAGAGCTAGCTATCGAATCTCCAGAAACTCGAAGAGTGAATTTCGTGGACTCTCCAGATTGACCGGGATAGGTTAGGTGAATAACCGCACTTGTGTCCTGTATGCGTGTCTCACAAACACAGCACACATCCATGACCCGAGTTGCTAGAGTCTTGGCCAATGAAGCCTATTGACCAATTTGACGAAGGGTGCGGACATTGAACGCTCCAATATATGATTTGAAGCGTGGTTTAAGGAGACCAAGGATACTGTTCGGTGGACTCAGATTGTTGTCGAAGGGTGCTGAGCTAGGAGAAATTAAAGATGATGTAGTATTGTTAATTGGGAGACGTGAAGGAAAATTAGAAGGTAGTGATGAGGGAGGTGGATAGGAGTGTGAATAGACTAGAGTGGTGACGGAGTTGCGAGGGCGGTTGACACTTCCCAGCTGCCCATGCTGTGGAAGGCTATTTCTTTTTAAGGTACCTGAAAGAGATTTGTGTGACCGCAGAGCCCATCGGACATCTGCTTGAGGCGTGTCACACGCAGCCTTTTGTGTATGGTTGTCTTGAACTTTTGTATTTTTGGGGCCGGATGGTCGAAAAGGAACGACAAATGAACCAACACCGAAAGCCCACCATACCGTGGGACATGGTGGAGTGTGTTTTTCGGGAGGCCGACCTCTCCTAACCCCTACCCCCTTCCACTGAGAAGGTAGCATGGCACCAAGGGAAGAACCCTACTGCTGTCACACCCCAGCCAGCCAGCAGCAGTACGACTTCGCCCTCAGACCCCCATCATAGTGTAGTAATTTACACCACAACGGTAACTGCTTTTCGTCTTTCCTAGTCTACTGAAAATGGACTATATTATATTGCATAGTGCTTTGAAAACCATCAGTAAGGTTAGTGCTGAGCCTCTCACTCAACTGATTAACACTACATTTGACAGATTTAAATTCTAGCGGTCGACTAGCTACAGAAATTTTAACTGACACTGAGCATCCACTTCATTCACAACTCTCCTTGTATCTTCCCAAGGACGACGAGAAAAA